TTGCACTTTCCACGCCGTCAGTGTCTCCACTTAACCAGTTTATGATGCTAATTGAATGTGTCCTGGCCATGCGCAGGCCACTTAAGCTGCTCTGCTCCCTCCTCTCCAGACAGAGCCTCAGGCTTTCCTTCTAAAGTCTTTAAGGTCAGCCAGGAGCCCCAGGGCCACTTGCACAAGATGCAACTCTGGGGTTTCAGATGTCAGCAAAAGATCAATTCATGCAGGCTTGTTAACTCGCTCTGGGTTAGCTGACCTGGGTTAGCTGACCCATGCTGTACACATTTGTCTCTGAGGCCCTGCCTGCCATTTGCCTCAGACGTAGGCTTGTCTTTCTTGGATGGAATCTAATTTTCTTACCTCTTGCCTCAAAAGGAAAGATAACCCTTAGTGGGTCTCTGTAGCTTGGGGCTAGTGGTTCCTACAGTTCATCAAGACCCTGAATAGAGAATTCTGTAGGCTGAGCAGTATGGAAGATCCTGAGGCCAGTGGCCTTGCCCTGGAGCTGCCCCTGAAACCTGACCTCTGACTGCCAAGGAGCTGTTTTGCCTCCGCTTCCCTGTCTTCTCTGGAGTGAAACCAGAAGTCAGAGCCAAACAGTCCTATTAGCCGTATGACTGGCATGCAATTGATCTCATGAAGTGCTTTGGGTGTAGTTTTAGGGGAGGTAGAGATGGTAGATGTCCCTATTCCAGAGTCTGCCCTCTAGTGCCTCCTCTTCTGTGTGTTGGGCAGGTCCTAAGTTTGGGCTGATGGGGAGAGAAGACTTTCCTGGTGTTTTCTTTTCACCTCAAGTTCTAGGTCAAATGAGCTGTCTTGGACACCTTGATGCTTAGTAGACAGTTCAATGTGAGACCTGGGGGAACTTAGGCCCTGGAGGGGAGACCCTAGACGAGCCAAACTCCCTGTACTGCTTATTCTAACATACTTGTTTTGAATGTGATGTGTTGACACAGTCAGAGGGAGGAGGAGACACTGGTCTTCCAGGCAGGGGCCCATTCTGTCCTAGTCAGCCGAGACCTCATGGACATTCTTTGTCAGTTCAGCAAGTAGACAGAACAAGCGGCTGGCTAACATTCTGTGGTTTGGGGATGCCAGGACTTGAGCCTACAGGCCTTTCTTAGGCTGGGGCACTCAGGGTCCTTCTGGTTGCAGGCCCAGCCCTTGGAAACATTCAGAGAAGGCTCAACTGGGGCTCGGAAGACTCTCAAGGACTTGCTGCCACTGTCCCCTCATGGGCTTCATGAGGACACAAACCTTTTCCTGCTTTACTGCCCAGAGCTGTGGGTAAAGCCAGACTTTCTGGAAAGCACTGGTTGGGCCCCTGTGGTGAACTTTCTATCATGACTGAAAATGAGTGAGTTACTTGTGGGCACTCCCTGATGGGCAACATGCTTGTGATCTAGATGCTGTGTGTAGGCCAGGCCTACCCCATACTTCTCACTCAGGAAAAGGCATAGAGTGAATTCTTGTTGAATTTGTTGCTGATGGAAATTTGTGAGGAGTAAAGTCATCCAGTAGGTTGTGTGTTCAAAAAGATACCAATGGGCAGAGATGAAGGTCTGAGGGGATGTAGTACCATTCCTTCAGCAAGAGCATCCTGTTCTGCAGTTAAAAGAACTTCTTGTAAAGGCAAGGTAGACCTGGTTCAAGAGCAGGTCCGTGTATTACAAGCCCTGTGTGAAGAGCCTCCCTAGAGACCAGCCCAGGTGCATGAGTTGAGGAGGAGGAAGAGGTAAGTGAGCCTGAAGAAAGCATAGGTCCCTCTTTCCATCCTCAGATGCTGATTAGTCTATGCAAGCAGCAAGGACAGCTAGGTCAAGTCTAGGCATCCTGTTTCAAAAGTAGAGAAATGACTTGAAGTTGTGGTACAGGGAGCTGGGTGAGGCCCTGTCACTGGGGAACATGCAAAGCCCTGGTGTGCTTTGCCTAGACAGGCTGAGGTAAAGTAGATTTCACCAAGTTCTTGCTGTGGTTGGGCTGGGAGGAGGCAAGAGCCATCCCAGCTGGATCTAAATGCAAACCAGAAACTTAGGTGGAACTGATGGGAAGGTTGAGGGTGTGGTATCAGGAACCTGGCCTAGAGTTGCTGTCTGGAAGAGTAGTGGCCCTGGCCTTGGGTCTTAGAGCAAAAATAGATGGTTCTCTCTCCTGACTGCTGGCTGAGGTGAAGGCCCTCTGCTTGAGATGGACTGCTGTATGAGCTATTGAGAGTCCTTTGAGGTATGGGGTTCTGAAGGCTGCTGAACCCTACTGAACAGAAGGTCCTGAGCAGGTTCAGAACAGGTGTCACTAAGAGTGCATGACCTAATTCCTGGCTTGGAAGTCAATAAGGGACTCTAGGCTCCAGCAGGCACTGCCGACTGCCACTCCTCTGGGGCAAGCCTACTTTTGAGGGATAGCAGTGTCTCCAGGTACTTCCAGTTCTTGAAGTGAGTGTCCTCAACAGGACTTTTCCTCCAGACAGCCAAAGATGCCCTGGGGCCCTTCCTACCTGCCATCATGGGGCTAGACTCTGGGGGAAAGTGAGGTGGTCCCTGCTTGTTGGGAGCTAATTACACGGTGGGGAAGGCCAGCAAGTCAAAGTAAAGATTGGGAAGATGGGGTTTGCATGGAGCCATGACACTGAAATCAGACTGGAAAGGCTACTTGCCCAGAGCCACATGGCACAATTTGTCATCTGATCCTCAAAGCCACTCTAAGTGTACGATGGGACCAGTGGTTTCTTATAGGGCTTTAAGAAGTTAGAGGGAGTTCCTCAAACCTCAGCTAGCCAGTTCAAATTGAAGTGAATGCCTTGTTTCATGCATCCTAATCCAGTACATTTTTGCTCAAGAATGATGGGATGGAGTTTGCCACCGTAGAGCCTTTGTTGTCCATGCAAAGTAAGGTCACCCTGTCCCATGTGTGAGCTTGGCACCCCAGCTTCATGTGATGTCTGCAGCGCTTGTAATGTGCCCTTGCTTGAGGCTGTGGCTTCGGGGCCCCATCTGAGGCTCTGGCTGGAGTCAAGACTCAACAGGAGGCCTAGGGTCCTGGCTGCGCCCTCTGTGAGCCTCCTGCTTTGACTAGAGCTGACCAGGGCTGTGTGTAAGCCAAGCTCAGGTAAGTTTTTTGGTTGCCTGGTACAGCATTGACATATATGAGGGTTTTGTTTTAAATGAATTGTCAATATAAAATCAAATTTCATGCAAAAATCTAGTTCCAGCTTATCTAAAGACCTCCAATACCGGAACTGCATGTCACCGAGGGCAGTGATGGGCTGGAGAGAGTGGCAGCTGCCTTGCCAGGTGGGGTCTGGGCCTTGGAGTCCCCACAGAACACTACCCTCAGTATTCATTCTGTCTCTCTGACCCTGAGGCAAGATGTCAGCAACTCTGTCCTGCTGTTACTTTTCTCACAGTTTGCTTGCTTCATCCGTCTGTGCCTCTGCGGCCTCTGGTGCACTGATTCTGAGGCAAAGTCAACATGATTTCTGCTAGGCTGACCTGGTCTCAAGAGTGTGGGAACATACTTTTTCAGCCATCTGCTTTGGCAAGCTTGACCAGATGCAGGTTCAGGGTACCCCCAACTATAGTCTTGTTAAGTTCTCAGGAAGACCACGTCACAGGTCAAATGCCATCTGATTCCTTCCTTCAGAGAGCCTTTGTGTGGGTGGTGGCAGGAATTGCCTTGTCATCGTCTCTGTTGAAGAGTGGCGTTGTGCTGGGCACATGGCTGTCAGTAAATGTTTGCTGAATCAGATTACACTGAACAGACTATTTGGCATCACCATATCACTAGGTGGCAATGGAAATAATTCCCAGGAATATGAGATGAGATTATTTTCCATTATTTCACAGGATCCCAGGTCTGGCATGATTCTGTTTTGTATTTTGCTCGTAGAGCCCATCATTCTGAGGTTCCTATTGTGTTAGAGGCTCACCTCTTTTCAGGGTTTGATGACTTACCTTAGTGCCTTATCTTTAAAGGGACACAATCACACCTGCAAGGACCATCACTTGTTGACCGTCTGCCATGCACAGCTAACATGTTCTGTGGTGGTTGAGAACAAAACAGTTTTTAGCATTTGTGGGCAAGGCTTGTAATCAGGTCTGGTATATCTGATTTCAAGAAAAAGAAAAACAGAAATTAAGAGATTGAAAAGCTAGTCTCTTGTCAAGAGAGAGTCCTAGTAATGGATGATAGAGTGGAGGCAGACAAGTTTCCTGCATCCACACCTGGCCTACCTTGGTGGGCCTTCTTTTCAATGCTAGGCCATGTTCAAGGCAACTGCTGTCCCTGCCAGCCAGAAATTGCCCTGTGGCTCATCATCTCCCCTGGGAGAGTCATTCAGTCTTGGACATGAATTGTCACAACTTTACCATAACATGACTAAATGGCTTTAAAAAAAAAAACATGGAAGGATGTTCATAAAGTTAATTGAGAAAAGCAAGATGTAGGGCAGTAGGTATGGCATAGTTGTTTGTGTGCAGAGAACCTTACACACACACACACACACACACACACACACACACACGAATAAACTATAAGGGATCACAACTGGGGATTATGTGAGTGATGGGGTTTGGGCAGTGTTAACTGCTCTGTTTTCACTTGATCTGTTTTCCCTAATTCTTTCAATGACTGTGCCTTATTTGCGTCACAGAATTGCAGAGGTGAGGCGGGCACATACGTAGATGCCACATGGGTGGCCGTTGTTGGGCTCCCAGAGCTAGAAACTGTCCCTGTCAGTTCACATGTAATGCTATCATCAGACTGAGATGGAGGCGAGATGTAGCCACTGATAGAGAAATGGTTTCCATTTCTAGAGCGTCTCAGCAGCTTTCTGGGATGGATAAGCCCTGTGTGGTCCAGACTGAAGCCGGATATTAGCTGCTTGGGTGCAGGCCCTGGGCTTCATTTCATCTTCTCAAATCAACACTGCAGTGTCTGTGATTATTAGTTTCTCTGACGTGTGACGGCCAGCAGTACTGATAAGGTGTTTTTTCATAAATTCACAGGCATTGCTTTCTTACCAGCGAGCATCTCTTATCTCATTGGAACCAATATTTTTGGGATACTGGCTCACAAAATGGGAAGGTAAGAGTAAATGAAAGTGTTCATTTTGATAATAACGGTTCTCCAAAGAAATTCGAAGTGTTTCTGTCTTAGCCGTTTTAAGTAATTGTTTTGATTTCCACTGAAGATTTGTCCTGGGAAAAACACCTTAAGTGTTCATTTATTGATGTGCCTTTTCTTTTGATAGATGGCTTTGTGCTCTTCTGGGAATGATAATTGTTGGAATCAGCATCTTATGTGTGAGTAAAGGATGGCTCCTGAAAGGCAGGAGGGGGATAGAGGGGTGGAACACAGATGTCTGGGACTGAAAGTCTTGTTTTAGGTGACACTCACCAGGCAACATTTTATAATAGTTTGAATTTGAATATTTAATTTTAAGTATTTTGGACAAGACTTTCCAGTGGGGATATTATCTAATTTTAGGTCAGCCATTAAGACATTTTATTACATGGGCTACTAAGTTATTTTTCTCACCATCATCTTATTTTTTGAATTTTTTTTTTATTTCAGTGGGTTTTTTTAAGACAGGGTTTCACAAAGTAGCTTAGGCTGGCCTTGAACTCATGGCAGCCCTCTTCACCTCATTCTCCCAGGGGCTGGGATTATAGGCATGAGCCACCACACCCAGCCTCACCCTTATGTTAACTATTACAGTGTTTTAGGGCTGGTGAGATGGCTCAGCGGTTAAGAGCACTGACTGGTCTTGCAGAAGACCGGGGTTCAATTCCCAGCACTCACATGGCAGCTAACAACCTAACTCTAGTTCCAGGGCATCTGATGCCCTCTTCGGATCTCTGTGGGTATTGCACGACACAGGTGCACTTACACACATGCAGGCAATACACTCATACACATTAAAATAAAAAATTTTTTAAAAATTACAGTGTCTTAAATATTTTATGACAGCTATCCTAAAAAATAGCAAGATGCTATCCCAGAATAAGAATCTTTTAGTGGCTGATGTCTCCCCGAAAGCAGCAAACTTCTTTCAGTGTCAAAGTAGAGGATGGACTAGGCTGTCGTCTTTCACAGGTGCCACACGATTAGATTTCATGGCAATCAGAACACTTTGACTTTATTTATTTATGGCACTAGAGATTGAGCCCAGGGCCTCATGCATGCGAGGCAGGTGCTCCACCACTGAACCACATCCCCAGCCCAGCTTTTGGCTTTTAAAGGTTAGGATGACAACCTCCCCCACACCCCTTCCTCTTCCTATTTGAAAGGGGAAAGGTACACTAAGCCCACAGAAAACATTTGGGAGGCCTTTTCAAGATGATTTAAATTTGATACCTGCTATTTTAGCATAATGTTCACTTCCTCTTACAGATTCCTTTTGCAAAAAACATCTATGGACTCATTGCTCCCAACTTCGGAGTTGGTTTTGCGATTGGTAAGTCACAGGGGGCCTCTGTTTGGAACTGTTTTCCCTCTAGCAGAGATTTTCTCTTTGGGAAAAGTGAATAGACTATAGTTGCAAAGCTCAGATTTCCAGAAGCTTCAGTGGAGGCTGCCATCAGTGCAGTCCAGGTCCATGAAGATACTTGTGTCCATGTGCTTATCACTTAATTCTTGAAAATCACTATGGAGAGGTGGTGTTTGCAAAAGCAAACTGACGCTTCACTGCACTCTGGCAAATGCACAAGCTTCCTCTCACGTAGCACATCTGCTGGTTCAAATCCAAGCGCAGACTTTCCCTGACAAGCTGGGGACAGACTTCTGTGGGCTTTGTATAGGGCTTGGCAAAGAAAAAGACTGGAGGATGCCGTGCTATGTGCTGCAGGGATTTTCTCAGCAAAGGAGAATAACGTGTTAGAGAAAGTCTTGGATGAATGGTCTACTTTTTTCTCACTTATAAATACTGACTGATCACAATAAAAGTAAAGGTCAAGCCAGGCATGGTGACACACGCCTTTAATCCCAGCACTGAGAGGCAGAGGCAGGTGGATCTCTGTGAGTTCAAGGCCAGCCTGGTCTGCATAGTGAGGTACAGGACAGCTGGGGCTACAGGGGGACCCTGTCTCAAAAAGACCGAAAAAATTAAAAAAAAAAATAAATAAAGGTCAAATCTGTCACACCACAGAAGCAGGAGTTTAGCTTTTGAGTCATACAGTATAAAGAATGAGCAGAGCATTTTCTGACCCCTAGAGGTTAGATGGCCTGGGACTCTGCATGTCCCCTTGTGCAACCTTCGTAGCACCAGCTAGATTGTAATGCCATCTTCAACTCCTTAGTTTCACTCCCTTTCCCTCATGGCCTGCACGATAGGTGGACAGCCAGTGCTATCTAAATTAAAGAAACTTCTCCATCCATCTGCTGCTGTGTGATCACACTTCAGTGTGTAGTCACAAGCATGGCTTACTGCAGCCAGACACCAAAAGCTCTCTCCAATCACCCCACCAGAGAGGGAGAAGCAGTGCTCAAGAGGTGAGGGACAATCGTGCTCACTCAGCCAGGGATTTGAACCCAGAACTCTGAACACATGTTCTCTTTTCTTTCTGTTCCTTGTCCCCTTCCATTTGAAGGATCAGTTTGTCATACTGGTCTTAGTCACTGCTCTCAGCCAATTATGAACCAAGTTCTTTGAGTTTTAGTTTCCCTACTAGGAAAAGCAGCCCTCACACACTCTTTTGAGTTCTACTACCCTGGTCCTCTCTTGCACACTCCAGCTTGGTAACTCTAATGGTCTCATGCCTGGTGTTGGGTGTGGATGAAGAAGCTGGATAAGATGTGTACATGTGCCAACTGGCAAGGGACAAGCGATTGAGAAAATAGTAGATCAGAAAGGCCCTGACTAGAAGCTGGGCAGGTTGCAGCAGTCTGCAATACATACTCCTGGTGAGTCGCCAGGGGACTGGATGCCCTCCCCTCCCCAAAAGACAGTCCGTTACAATACGGAATGACGAGGTAAGGCCAGGCAGAAAGCACACAGGTGGTGGTCTAACGAGGACTCAGAATCTGAGGTTCCATTCTTTTCTGAGTCCTTCAGCTGACTGTCCTCAATGAAAGGTTTGCTTTCAGGAGTTTGCTCAGATGTGCAAGTGGCTATGACAGTGGGGAAGAGCTGGCTGGGTATTCAGTTTGGGACCCAGTCCCTGACATTCAGCCTCTTTCTGGTTCGTATCACTTTTCCATACTCTGTTCCTTGACTGTCCACAGGGATGGTGGACTCCTCCATGATGCCTATCATGGGCTACCTGGTCGACCTGCGGCACGTGTCCGTCTATGGGAGTGTGTATGCCATTGCGGATGTGGCCTTCTGTATGGGGTATGCTATAGGTAAGTATTGGCTTCCAAGATGACCTTTACCTTATTGCAGGACAGAAAAAAGGTAAAAAAAATATGGAAATATTTACATTTTCTGGCAATAAGCTATTTGGAGAGAACACTAATTCTCTGTTTCCTGAAAGGTCCTTCAGCTGGTGGTGCCATTGCAAAGGCCATCGGCTTTCCATGGCTCATGACAATTATTGGGATCATTGATATTGCTTTTGCTCCTCTGTGCTTTTTTCTGCGAAGTCCACCTGCCAAGGAAGAAAAAATGGTAAGAAAGTCTTTCTTGATCATCTTAACATCTAGCTTCCTCACGGTCCACTTCTAAAATGCTTCAGTCCTTCTCAGCAGCAGTTCCTAACAGAAGTGGTACTTTTTCATCCACGCCACACAGAACAGTTGCTTTCTTTCATTCTTGCTACTTTCAGAATTATTTCTCCAGGTATCACATTTGTAAATTTGAAGAATACAATTATTTTTTGTACATAGATTAGCAGTGTATTAACTCTCGTCAATCAAATAGGAACCTGGGATAATTCAGATTCTCTGTGGTTCTTGCATGTTCTTCCATTTCCCAGATACGGTGCTTTGTTTTTCTTCTATCCTCATGGCACTCAGTGATAACATAGGATTCTGGAGGTGGTTTTAGGGGTCTTTATGAAAGACTATCACATATACACCCCAGGGCACACATGTGAGCACACAGACTGCTTCTTCATGACCAGAATCATAGCCATAGGGAAGCTAGAGAAGAAAGTGGTACCGCTGATACCAGTGCTGCTCCATGTTGTATTGCAGGAGTATGCCTGCACCGAGGATGCAGGAGAGTGCTCGGAAGTGGAGGCTTTGTGTTCAAGGACAGATCTGAGGCTCCTCTGTCATGTTCTTTTTGGGAGTCCATTAAAAGTGATTTCTGTAGGTTCCCTGCCCCTCTTTCTGGTATTGTGGATTGAACCTAGGGCTTTTTGTGTCTTTTTAAAAATTACTTTTATTGATCTTTATCTCCAGGCTGGCCTTGAACTTTGTAAGAAATCAGGCAGGCCTTGAAGTTGGGGTCTTCTTGCTTCAGCCCCTCCAGTAGCTGGGATTACAGGCCCCTGCTTCATCTAGAATACTGCCTTACTCTGTCTGCCCAGCAGCCCCCAAATGTCTTCCCTCTTCAGGGCGAGAGCTGCTTTTTGCTACTCGGACTCCATCACTGCTGGGTGGATATCCCTCACCAAGGCAGCAGACGTTAGTGGCTGTTGTGTTATCTGTCTGTGGGTGACAGCATGAGCTAGTGGAGGAAATGAATGAGGTCACACTAGCTAGGGAGATGGTGGAGCTGGGGAAATACTTGTCCAGCCAGCCTTGACTGTGTTCTGCAAGATGATGGCAGGAAGCCAAGGCTCGGTTCTCCTTTTCTTTTTAGTAAACCAGTGCTTGGGTCCATTTAAAAAGTACTGAAGGAAGTAGAAAAGACAATCCTGAAAGATGAATAATTAGAATGACAGTTTTCCAGAAAGCCACTTTCACTGTAAAATGTCAAAATCCTTCATAAGTGCCTGGTGAGATAAATCATTAAAAACTCAAGATGTGCATTTTGCTGCCCATAATTGATGCCAATAATTGGAGGATGCCATTTGACCGGCACATTGGTAGCATTTGAGGGTGGTGGCAGCCAGCAGCCAGTGGTGGCTCATTGTGCAACCAGGGCAGGAAGAGTGGGTGGAAGCTGATAGCACCTAATGATAAGGGGGTGTGTGTCCGGATGTTTGCTAAGGGGGAGAATCGATCACCACCCACTTGAGGAACCACAGTGCAGACAAGTGCTGGTGTGCAGGATTAGCAGCTGCCAAACACGGGATATTCAGGCTTGAAGGCATTCCACCCCAGCAAATAATTCTTTCATTAAGTGGATCCTAGTAACAGGGTGTTTGCCCTTCAGCTGTGTGAGATTGACAGACCCAATGCTGTTCTATGGATCACAAGTGACAGGCTCATGAATTGGTTGTAAGCACTTGGGCGTTCCTCCCATTTGGAGTTCTGCCTTTTAATAATTAGTGTTACTGATATAGGCAGAGAGAAAAAAAATCCTTATTGCTCAGTCCCCTGAGGACATATAAGACAGACCAACACTGCTATTTGAGGGAAATTGTTCCCATAGGAAGACAATGACGCAGCCACCCTGATCCCTCAAAACAGGTGAGAGTAGCTGAGTTCTAAGATGAGTTCTGCTTTTCAGACTTAAAGATTTCTTACAAGATAGGGCATATTTCTAAGTCTTATTGTTGAAGTTTCTGTTGCCAAGGCAGAAAAGGTGGCTTGTTGCTAGGAGCCTCCTTTAAGTGAATGGCTGTAGCTGACGTGGTGGCACACACCTTAGTTCCAGCATCAGGAGGCAGAGGCTGGTGGATCTCTGTGAGATTGAGGCCAGCCTGGTCTACACAGGGAGTTCCAGGCCAGCTGGGGCTACAGGGAGACTGTCTAAAAAAAAATACAACAAAAAAACCCAACAAATAATAGATACATTTAAAAGTGGATAGCACTTGCCACATTTGGATCCCCAGCACTCACATAAATGTGGGGCAGGTGTGGTGGCCTGCCTGCAGTCTCAGCCTAAGGGAGGCAGAGACAGAGGAACCCAGAAGCAAGCTGACTAACCACACTGGTAAGCCTTGGATTCAAGTGAGAGACTCTGCCTCAATACATAAGGTGAAGACTGATTGAAGACACCTGATGTTAACCTCCGGTCTGTACATGCAGATGAACACATATGCATGTACATGCACATGAGAGCATTTGTACACACATACAGGCACACACCCACACCCAAAGTAAATTCAAAAGATCCTGGTTCTTGGATTTCATGGGTGGGGTGAGGACGAGGCAGCTGATGACTGATAAGAATATGCTCTGCACCTTATAATCTACTTGTAAGTATCTGTCCCTTTTCTGGGCACTTACATATGAATGCAAAGCTCTTGGTTTTTTTTTCCCCCTAGTTATGTTAAACAGAACAAAACATTAAAAAAATTTGCTATTTTTTTATTTTATGAGTGTCTTGCCTGAACATATATGTGTACCCATGTCATGAAATGCTTGCAGAGGTCAGAAGAGGGTGTCAGATCCCCTGTAACTAGAGTTAGAATTGTTAGCCACCATGTGGTTGCTAGGAATTGAACGCAGATCCTCTGTAAGAGCAGCCAGTGCTCTTAACCACTGAGCCATCTCTCCAGCCTGAACAAAACATTTTTTACTGGGACCCGTGCCTGCCGAAGTCTCAGAATGGGGCTTCTACCTTCTAAGTGCATTTACTGTTTCACTAGTGCTGAATTTGTACCGCTTTTCTACTCCGTCTGTTTTTTGTTTTTTTTGTTTTGTTTTTTTTTTACCACTTTGGAGAGCCCAGCTCTGCTCTGCATGTGACAGGAGCTATTCATTTGGCAAGGGCTTGGCTGTATCTGGGCTTTGCTATGACTTTGGTGCTAATCCCTTTCCTCTCTTCAGTTGAAAGCCGAACACTTTCCTCCACAGCAGTATGTGGAGTGCTGGCTTAAACTCCCTGCCTGCTTCATGGGTCCCTGGGCACTTGGCCCTTGTAGGTTTGCCTTTCCCACTTGATGCTGTGTACTTCTCTTTTCATGGCACTTTTGAAACATCACACACTATCTGGCTGATTTAATTATGTATAAATTTAAAAAGTACAAGTACTGCCCAATTATTTTTTCAGAACAGGTACTAAAACTAGTGAGTTATGCTGTAAAAGCCATGAAACCATATTCCTGGAAGAAAGCTCCTTGAAGCACGAAGGCCACGTTAAGCCTTTCAGCTGTTTTGGTAAATTCTGATCATTGTCTGCATGATGCAAATAATCAGTCTGACTGAGTTCTGCAGTACAGGGTTGTGTGTGTGTGCAGTGTGCCTGATTGTATGCGTGCATGCAAGCATGCATAGAAGCCTGAGGATATATCCTTGAGTGTTGTTCCTCAGGGCTGTCTACCTTATTTTTTGAGACAGGGTCTCTCACTGGCCTGGCCTAATGCTCACCAAGTAGGCTAAGCTGGCTGGTCAGCAAGGCCCAGAGATCTGCCCATGTGCCTCTCCAGTGCTGGGCCCTGTTACAAGCATGGACCATCACACCTGGCTTTTCCAGACAGGAGTTCTGGGGATTGAACTCAGGTCCTCATGCTTGCAAGGCAAACACATTCTTTACCCAGTAAGCTCTCTCTCCAGCCCCAGTAGAGATTTTACTTAGTCTATATTCTATGTCCAGTCTCGGGTGCAGAGACTCTCAAGATTACACATGGACATGTAATGGCAGGTGGAGAGATGTAGGTTGTAGGCAACGAAGTCTTGTTTTTTCCAAGGTGGCCTTGCTGCCTGTGGGCCAAGTAGGGGTCAAGGCCCATGCCTGGCGTTCCTAGCTCGGCTGGGGCTTCCCAACAGGTGCCTCCCACTGCCCCCCAGTTAGATCTCTGGTGGTCATGCTGGCTTAATGTCTGTAATGCCCTCTTTCCTAAATATTCTATGCTTAGCTCACTGAAATCTTTTTGTGCAAATCCTTTCATCTTTCATGGTTCATCTTAGCTCTCACTTCCTCCCCAGAACTTCTAACATTTAATCTGAATTTTGTCTTCCACCTGTGACTTTGGAGGGCCTGTCCTTACTTCTCAAGTTGCTGGTATAGCACCTTCAGGGTGAAGTCAAATAACTAGAAGGTGCCCTAGAAACTCCTATCAGCTGGAAGACATGATATATATCATGTAATTAGGGCAGTGTTTCTGGAAGCTGTAGGCAGCACTGTCACATGAGGGGAGGAACCTGGAATTTCATTTGTAACCTGCTCCACTCCACCTCTACCCCCTCTGTAGTTATTTGAGCACATTACATTGAGAATCACTAATCTGGATTACACTTAGTTATCAGGGATTAAACCTTTGTGTAACACAGGGAGAATGGTCCAGGTGTACAATGTGTTGCCTCAATTATTTTAGCAATTGAACTCTTTATTAAGTACAAGCATCAATTCACTTGGAAGTAGCATAATTGGAAGGAGGTTTGAAGCTGGCAGTTTGAGATGAGTCTGACTCAGGTCACGTCAGTCCTTATCTTTGTGTGTCACACAGCAGATCATTTGAGAATTTCTTGGGAAATGATAAAAGGGTTAAGCACTGAGTGGAGTCTTATCACATCTGCAGGACAAGAGCTGAGAGTAATAACTAACAGACACCAAGATAGATTGCCATGGGCAATATCAGAACATTTTAATCCATTCAGATTTGCAGACTGCACAAAAGGTATTGGAGAATGGCTCCTCTGAGAGAGGGAGCGTACGGAGACCTACCTGATTCATTTGGGTTGCATGTGGCCCCCTCTGCACTTCTCCATGGACTGCTTAGACTACACTTGTCCTGGGCCTGCTTGGCTTCCTCAGCCCCCTTCTAGGTGCACTGGTGCCCTCTGCATCCATGGATTCTGGCTCTGTGGATTCAACTGACTGGAATCCGAAACATCCAGAAAAAAAATTATTTGTACTAATTTGTAGACTTTTTTCATCCTCCCCTAGTTACATGGCCAGTTCACATTGTAAGGTATTGTAAGTAATCTGCAACCGATTTGAAATACACATGGGGATGTCATATTCAAATATATTTTAAAGGACTTGAACTTCTGCAGATTTTGGTGTTGTCGGGTTGTTCTGGAAACACTCTCCCAAGGACACTGAGCTTAGCTGTACATCCCTTAGTGAAGCTCTTTTTAGCCCTGTGCCCAGTCTCTTGAGTGGAGTTGAGGCAACGAGCCTACAGTGAGTAGCATGTTCCTGGCAGGATGTCAGATGGATTAGCAGATCATTGCTTGGCTAGGCACATCTTTCAGGAGAAATGATGGCAAGCGCCTTAGATGGAGATGCTTTGAAAACAAAGCATTTTTCTTTTTTGAAGGGCAGTCACCTGTTTGGTTTAATTTTCAGTAACAATGAAAGAGGGCACAGGACTTATGTTCATCAGATCTGATGAGAGGTGGTCTGGATAACACATCTATGAACAAAGCCCTATGACCTAGGAAAATACTCAAGGAGCCATGGTGATGTGGTCTGAAAATATTTTAAAATGCGAGGCAGTCTGTGAAGGTAACCAGTATCGGGAGCACTTCCGAGAATGGAAATGACACAGGGGCTTCAGTCTTCCTATTTCTAACAAGCGCTTCCTTCACTTGTCTCCATGATGTACCTTGTGACAGTCTACCCACAGAAGCTGGATGGATAACCTGCATAGCCTCCATCTACAAGATTCAACTCCTTAACCCTAATCAACCTATCCTTTGTTTTACAAAAAACTGACTCTTGCCCCCGATCAGGTACAATGAAAATATTCAAGACCTCTTCACTTCTTGCCTATTGCCTGAACTTTTCACTTGGTGGAGAATGCCAGGTGTTCTAGGTCAAGACTTGGCAATTTCTCCAAATAACTGTTTAATAGAAGATACAGATCTTTCAAACTAGTAATCTCTTTTTTTTAAATTAACATCCTTGTCATGAGCTTTTTTCTTAAATATTTTATGTGTATGTGTGTATTGCCTGCATGTAGGTAAGTGCACCCGTGTCGTGCAATGCCCTTGGAAGACAGAAGAGGCTGTTGGATCCCCCGGAACTGGAGTTACGGACAGTTGTTAGCTGCCATATGGGTGCTGGGATTCAAACCCAGGTCTTCTGCAGGAACAGTTAGTGTTCTTAACCACTGAGCCATCTCTCCAGCCCCTCAAACCAGTAATCTTTAAAAGGAACAGGCTAAAGCCACCATAGCTTTATGAAACAAGAAGTTAATGTACTTGGCATTTTGCTCTTTCAGGCTATCCTCATGGACCACAACTGTCCTATTAAGACAAAAATGTACACTCAGAGTAACACCCAGTCATACCCGATCGGTGACGATGAAGAATCTGAAAGTGACTGAGCCCCTCAGAAATCATTCAAGTGTTTAACTGTGTTGGTGTTTCCAGTGAGATGACTCGTGCAGAGCTGTCTTAGTCATACCATCCACTCCTGGCAGAGTACAACCACCAAAGGTGATTCTTTCTTTTCCATGGTTATGATCGACTGCCAACAGCCTTATAAAGAAAAAGCAGCTTTTCTAGGGGTTTGTATAAATAGTGTTGAAAACTTTATTTTATGTATTTGGTTTTATTAAATATTACACAATATATTTTGACGAAATAGGTATATTGTAAATGTATAAATATTTGAATCCAAATCAACTATAATTTTTTAACTTACATTCACGAACACTTGGACAAAAAAAATCTTGTATTTTTTCTGAATACTGGTAATGAGTGTTTAAAGCACACATTATCTGACACTACCAACAATGAGAAACTACAAGTCTAAAAAACAGAATCACGTAAGACAGCATGTTACGTAGCAACAATGAATGTGCTGACTCGTAATCAGTGTCAATATATTTATGAGTCAAAAGCTAGTCATCTCAAGTGCAGAGAGCAAGAAAGCAAACTAGTCATCTTTTGGACTTATTCATAGCTCTTTGCTGGCATTAGTTTTCTATATAATCACCCACCTGGAAAGGGACGGTTGTACAATTACACTTATGTGGTTGGCAGCAAACATTAAAGCCAACGAGGATTTTGTGGTTTTTTTTGTAAACGTTCTGAAAGTAGAGAAAAGCCCTCAAATGTAGTTACAACTTAACAGCTTTCTTTTAAAGACAAATACTTGACTGCTTTATTGGCTGAAAATAAAAGGTATATGCACTTTACACTGTTAAGGTGAAGCATGATAAGATTTATCAACACCTAATTAGTTTTGGAAAAGGAAACAGCTATTAAGCCTTGAAAAATCAGACTATTACGTCTTTCACCTATTTGCAGGCCATCCAAGTGTTTTCCTAGTTATTCTGAGTTGCAATTATTTTCTGGACTCCTAAAAGTTGTCCATGTTAATGCAGAATTTTAAAGATGAAGGAATGATGCTGTTTAAAAACATTATGGTGGGAAAGCAGGTAGGGAAGGTGTCCTGACCACCTGTCATCTTTTTCTGAAGCAGAAAAAAATCCAAACATCTACAAATGTGTACGTGTTACTGTATCATCTTGTATGCTGGGTAGCATAATTTTTCTAAGCATGAGAACATTGACCTGTCTTTTCAGTGTGCCAGCAAATACTGAACATTGTCTACATTGCTTTATATGTGAATACGACTTTCTGGCATGTGAACAGTGTAGAATATGTCTCTAGTAGTACGTGACAATTCTGCAGTTCTGTCATCATAAAAATGTCATTTTTGTTAAGCTGAACTGTTTGTGTTAACTTGGGTATCAGGGATCAAAGAACTTTATAGCAAAGACTCTCAATCTTATTGGCTAGTACATATTCTTCAGAAAGGTAGTGGCTAATCTTTCTTTTGCTTTATGGAGCTTTTCTGTGGGGCCTAGCTGATTTGAAGTCAGTACATTTGAGAAAAAACAGCTTCTGACTCCACCACTGGACAGTCACACAAGCCTGTGACTGAAAGATGGCTGCTGAGGGATTCTCACACAGCTAACATACAAAGGAGGGATGTATACTTCTACAGGACAGCCTTAAAAAGTGTGGCTAAAGAGAGCCTGTAGTTTCCCTTGCCCTCAATATCAGACAATCTAGTCCTATGTTCTTTTTGCCTTTAAGGCTTCAGCTCTAGTAAGAATGACTAGCAAAGGCAGCCTGCTATTGATCCCTGGGGGAAAGGATAAAAGAATTTTTCCGAACTGTTTGGGGAGCCAAAATAGGTTGTTTCTGAGGGGAAAGTAAAGTCATTTATATGACTAATATCCTGGGTACACAAGACTGAAAAACGGGGGGTTTAAAAAATATTCTGCATGTACCAGAACAAAGAACATATAGCTCTCTGAACATTTTTTTAAAAATAGAGGTGGCTTTTATGTTTTACTTGGTAATACAGACACAAAAATCTTTGTGAGGTAGCAGTGAGTAATCAGCTTTCTTCTGACTGCTAAGTATATCTGTTCTGGTCATACTTTAGCTAGACCTACTTAATAAATCTTCTTGAACACTGCTGTGCCTGCCTGTATTCTTTCATAAATACTGCTGGAACAAATACATAGATATCATTTTGACTGTAGTTATTTAATTAAAAACTATTCTTTGCTTGCAGGAGTCAAGCAAATGCCACTCCAGGCTAGTGTGGTCCATCCTCTTGGCTTTCCACTATTTGCTGTAAATGAAATGTGAGACTTATTATTCTATCAACGTGGAAAAACAGTGAATTGCCCTGGACTTTAACTGTCAGTGTTGCTCTAACTGCTGTAAACAAGTAACTATCTTATGAAAATAGCCATTATCCAGGCATCTGCCAGAATCGACTCTTGAAAGCTCTAGAAATTAGGATCATTTTGAATGGGGTGCACATGATACCGCTTCCAGGATCTATAGTTTTAATTAGACCTTAAAGAGTATCAAGGAACCAGAAAAGATGAGGGAACACTCCCTTTTTCCCCACTCCTTTGCTTCTGGGGTGGAAGAGGGGAGGTAGGGAAGGAAAACTATCTCAATTTAGGAATTAAGATAATACTTTTTGTTTTTCTTGGTTTTTTTGAGACAGGGTCTCGCAGTAGCCCCAGCTGTCCTGGAACTCACTATGTAGACCAGGCTGGCCTCAAACTCAGAGATCCGCCTGCCTCTGCCTCCCGAGTGCATGAGCCACCACCACGCTCAGCTTAATACATTTTTTAAGTTGGAGATTTAAAACTTACTTCAGGGGACTTAAAATTTTAATCTCCATTAGATAGACTTTGCTTTCCAAGTTTTAGGCTGTTTTTCTTAGAAAGTTATCTAAACAGTAAGTTTTGATATTATCGAATGAAGTTTGATATTAAGAAATATGATTGCCTAATAATGCTAAAATGTTACTCATTTTGTATAACCCAGTCATTCATCTAAACATCAATGAAGAAAATATACTTTAGTCTAATTTTTCTTCTTTGAGAGTGTCTCATTATGGATAGTCTTATTAATATGCAGCATTAGAAAAATCCATGAATACATTCCACAAGATAAGGAAGCAGCAGCAAGAACTGAGCACTTTTGTTTACTGAAAGTGGGTTGATAGCTTGTCTGCATGGCCAAATTAGACCAGGCAATAATTCCAGAGATGCACAAATCGCCTTGTTTTAAATGTCATCAAATGAAGATATTCTTGTTTTCTGTGGTAGTCTTTATTATTTTAGCTATTGATAACATAGCATGGTAGCACGATTACATCAGTAATGTAATATTAACACAATCTTTTAAAACTGAAGCCTGATACCTTACTCTAGGCTATCTGGAGTGTTTCCCCTTGCTCTAAAGTACAACTGTGATGCCTCTACTGCTTCTCCCAATAGAAAAATAGTCCACTACAGTAAAGGTATATTTTATAGACGTCATTAGCAGCGTTATTGAGCTTTCCATGATTGTGGTTCTACAGAGCTAAATACTTTAAAGCACGAGTAGATTATTATGAACTAAAGCTTTGCATTATTTCTACAGCTCTTTCAAATGCATCAGTTTCAGGAGCATGCTCGAGCATCACTAAAACTTCCGTGGTCTGATCCATGAACACACTAGCCACTTACAGACATGCCCCTTCTAGGGTAGCAATAGCAAGTTACTGTTTACAAGATGAATCGTGTTTACATCAGACAGACTGTTTCAAGCATGTGCTGTGGAACAGCATTTCAACTTTCAGGGACTTGTTGCGGAAAGTCTTCTATCGAGGTGTTCTTTTAACGTGAGCATGCTTAAATGAACAGTAAAAAAGGGGCATACACAGATATATTCTTGCTATAAACCTGGCCAAGAAAGGTTTGTACCTTAAAATTTAGTGTCCTAACATTTCACTTAATAATGAGAGCTGCTAGTGGGTTTAAAACTGGAATAACTTTCTACACTTAAAATATTTTTCTCATGTAAATACCTTTTATTTTTATAGCTTTTTACTGTTCAAAGCACATTTGCAGTTATGCTATTTCCTCACAACAATCCTGTGAGGTAGAGTAAGTATCTTCAGAGATGGGGAAAGTGCTGCATGGAGCCCTTTGTGACTTGCCTAGGGCTGTGCAGTTCATTCATGGAAAAAGCCTGAATGGAGTTTGGACTACAGACTGGGCCACAGTCTTTACTATTATACTATGCATTTTCCTGCCAGCCAAAGAGCTATTCCATACAGTTTTAAATTCATGTTGGCTTATGCATTAATTTATTATAGTAGTTACCTGTAAAGGGGAAAAGTTTGACTCTACTCTATAGGTATGTAAGAGGCCCAGACTTTTAAGATATATACCAACAGGGGTCAAGCTCATATAAGTGCCCTCAGCTGTGTGTTACCAGCATCTGTAAGATGATCCCAGTACCACAGTAGTCCTTCATTTTCAGAGAACTGGTCCCAATTCCTATGTATACTGTCTATTTTTATTTCTTTTTTTCTTTACGTATGAATGAAGACAGTCTGAACTACCAAAGTACTCAGAATGATCACCATTCTTTTAAGCCTGTAAAACACTGAATGATGCAGTAAATGAATATATTTTGTATAACTGCTCTCCACATATTCCTACACATACAAAAAAGAAATCAAAACAAAGCCCATTATCAACAGTCATTTTCAGAACAGCCCTCTGAAATTGTAAATATCCTCTCATATGCTTTATTTCCTATGGGAGAGCCAAAGATGAGAAATCATCATGAATGCTTAGAACCTCCATGAAAAGGAGCATTTTGAAAGGTTATTTCAAAATCCTACTGGTTACTGTTCTTAAGTAATGAAATCTTGTTATCTCTACAAAATTCTTCACCAACCCTATTCCTTATTTATTCTCTTAAAATTTTTTCAATGCAAGCTCTTCTAGTTAACCACTATAATTTTACTATAGTTCAAGTGCATAAAAGCTTTAGAAAAAAAGTCACTGAAGCATAGAAAGCAAGCAATATATGTAAAAAAAAATTTTTTTTTTACTAAATCAGCATAACAAACTCTTTAAAGGTATAGGATCTGCTTTCATGTTACATTTGGCAAAAACCAAAACAAACAAAAATCCCCCAAACCCAAAATAATAAAAACTTCAAGCAAGTAAAGATGACAAACTTCAAAAGTATAGAAGAAAGAAGATTTAAAACCTGTTCCCTTGATGATTCCTGTTGTCAATTTGGGCATGCAGCAAATTTGTTATAACCATGATGAAAACAAAAACGAAAATTTCAAGAAACCTTTCAGGATCCTAAAGAACACTAATTCAAAAACCAAGAAGAGAAAAAATAATATATTGAGACATCACACATACGTAAACATGAAAAGTTAGCTTACATAATTAGAAAAGTTTAAAAATAAATTAGTAAAAACCAATTCCTGGTATAAACCCCAAAAAGTGTAACTATAAATGCAACCCCAAACAACCAATTTAGTGATCTGGTCATGTTTCTGCTGGAAAACCACCTTTCATTCTTGTTCTTACATAAGCAAGCACTGTAGAAGCAGGCCCAAGTGCACGGTGAGGGACTGGAATGTGGCTATAAACCCATGGTACTTCAGATGTGTCTTGTCCCAACCATCTGAAAGTTTAAACAGCCTGTCAAACAGACTCGGATGAGCCAAATAAGTCATCTGAGATGCTGCTGAATGGCTGGGTGTCTATCAGCTGGCTTATTTCACTATCAAGGTCTTCTTCTGGATCATCTGCATATTTGCTCATTTTTTTTGAGTGCTGGTCTAAAGACAGACTTTCTAAGGTTTCGATATCTTCGATGCCTGCTCTGTAGTGAATCATCAGAAGTGTTAGAGCTTGTAGTCTTTCACCTGATTTAGCCAAAGCAGCAGAAAGAAGTGACTTTTTCCTTGTATCGGTTGTTTCTTTTTCTTCTCTAACAAGGGAATTATTGTGTTCCAACTCCTGATCAATTTCATTCTGCAGTTTATCCAACATGAACTCCAGCTTCTGGATCCTTTCCTCCGTAGGCAAGCCTCTGTACAAGTCTCGACCAATTTCTTTAACTGCAATGAAAACACTGTCGTCCAGCCCACCTTCTTTCCTCACTAACTTTATTCCTGCACTGTTTCGTTTGGAAGGACTGTTTGGACCACAGACCTCTGTATCGCTCCCTTCATTGTCTGATGTGTTGGGGGTGTGTTTTGGTGAAGGTTCTACGAGATCAGTTCCTGGTTCAGAAAGGCGAGTTTTAGAGACCTGACGCAAATTGAGTAAACGAGAGCTAGTATTGATAATGTGCCTTGTCAAACCTGTTGTTTTATTGATTGACTTAGCTTCGGTCTCAACCCGAGGAGGGAGGCCCACAAGGGGTTCCTGTCCTTCCAGCCTAAGGTTTTTCAGGGTCCGATCTATTCGCCTCTCAGTTGCTCCACAAAGAGGTGTCTCAGCTAGACACTTTTCTTGACATTTTTTATGACAAACATAAGCACAGAACATACACTGGGAAGCAGCTTTTGTCCAAACTTTTTTCTTACAGTAATCACACCAAGTTGGGTTTTGGAACTGGGTATCTTGGAAACTATGTTTATTTTCTGAAGAACTCATCTGTCCTACAAAGTGCTCCTCTTTAGGGACAGTAGAAACTTCTTCAACCACATGCAGTTCTTTTTCTTTCTCTACAGTAGTAAGAACATGGTGGTCTGGTTCTCCTTCTTTCAAGTATTTGAAGTGAATAGTAATGTCACCAAAGCAAAATTTGTCATTGAAGCCCTTCTGCATACTCAGATTTCGTAGTGCAGTTCTAGTGACCATGGCCTTGGGTGCCGGGGCCTCCAGTCTGAACTTTGAAAGGTACTCCATGTTTGATGTAGCTAAGCATCCTAAAGCCACCTCTTCAAGTTTTAAACTAACGTGCCCCAAACAAATGAGACCTCCTAACTTGAAAGGATCCCTGCACCACAGTGCAATGTTCAGGTATCTGTGGCAGGCTTCTATGTCAAACAAACAGGATGCTCTGGTCCTTGACCATTTTCCTAGCTTATTACGATAAAGAATCTCTGATGATTCCCATGTTTGACGGTCATCCGAAATCTCCTTAGTGGGGCAGGAACTTTCTGAGGTAAGATCTTTCACCAATTCTTGCTTTGCTGAAGCCTGCTTCACTACAGCTGAATCTTCCCCATGATCCACACTTTTTACTTGCTTCTCTGATTTATCTGCAAGAGGGGGTGGCGGCACCTTCTCTGGCTTTTCAACATCTGGGTCTGCCTGAGTTGGGGTGTCCGTGGAAGGCAAAGCAATTTTTACTTGTGGTCGTGGTGGCACAGGTGGTTTGAAAGTGGGTCCTTGGGGTTTTGACACTTGTGCTGGTTCTGTGACCTCTGAAGTTTTGGGGGCTGATGGTTTATTTCCTTCTTTGGATGGAAGTTTTTGTGGTGGTGGGTGACTTCCTGAAACTAATTTACGGTTCAAAACTGGGGATATAGCGCCAAGGGGTTTAATAGACAGTGTTGTTGGAGTACGTTTAGGACTCTGGCTTAATGACTGTGCCTCATCTTTGAACTCAGTTTGTACTCTGACATCACTTGCCAAGTCTTCAAATTCAGAATCAAGGTCTTTATTTTCAGCATCTACTGCCAACCCTGCAGCTTCTTCTTCATAACCTGTTTGGCATGAGCTTGACAAAAAGTTCTCTTCCAACTGACCAAAACTGTCTGGCAGCACCGCACCTTGATTACTCTGGCCAACGGGCCTTTCATAGTACACCAGGACTCGGTCGCCAGCCTGTTTGATGAGCTTCAATACCTGTAGTGTCGATGTAATTTTCACACCTGGTTAAGATTTAAAAGAGAAAACATGTAAATTACTGTAATAAAAATCCCCTACATTGTCATTACCATGTGATTATTTAATAAATGGAAAAACAACAAGGAAAACTTAAAAATATTTTACTTGGATTTCAGCTCAATCCTTGTGAACCTAAATGATATCACCCCAGAGAGGCTGCTAATTCCTATCTGCTTCCCATTCCTTCCTAGGCTAAATGACATTATTTCTCAGTTGAATTGAGGAAGTGGACAGACTGAGACCTACTTAGGTTTATTAATGGGTAAACCCCACTTTGAATGACGGAAAGTTGTGACTCCTTTTTATTAGCCATACACATTTTCTGGGATGAAAGAATAAGATAAGTTACTTTAAGGTTAAACAATTATGATGCACATCCTCTTGTCCTGACTATGATCAACTTGCCACCTTCCACTTAACCCAATTTGAATCCTGGAGACAGCTAACTCCCTGTTTTCTTCAGCTGTCAATCCTAACTTAGTGTTCAGGTCCTCCTCAGCCTAACAGCCATAAACAGCCTCTAACTGCAATCTCCCATGCAGACCTTATCTGCTTTGATCCCCGTGCTGCTAGGTTTTCAAGTTTCAGCACAAAGGCCCTTAGCCTGAAAATATTCAATGTATTCTGGGCTTTCTCACAGGGCTCTTCCTGACCATTTAGCCTGATACCTCCTACTACTTCCATCTACTACACGAGGTCCTTGGAGCAATGTTGCCTGACATACATAAAAATGAAGTATTGTCTATTGAGCTTTAGTAGGCAAAAGCTTCAGGTCAACCCCAACTTTTTCATTGTGCTTCAGGAAAACTGTCCTCATCTCATCTCCCCAGTCACACGGTAGTCATGATACCTCTCAGGAAATGCTCATCCCAAGTCTGGATTTTTCATTTGCAATACTTCAAACATGCTGAGAAGTTGAAACAGTAAAATAAACTCTATTATTGAACCTAAATATAACGTTTTGCCAAACTTATTTTAATTACCAATCGCCTGTTACTAAAAATATTAAAAACTACTGTAAATTCAAATAAATGAATTAATCACAACTATATTTTTTATGTATGAGTGTATTGCTTGCATGTGTGTAAGTGCACCTGTGTCAAGCAATGCCCATGGAGGTAGGAAGACATTGGATTCCCCTGAAACTGGAGTTATAGACGGTTGTTAGCTGCCATGTGAGTGCTGGGAATTGAACCCGGGTCCTCTGTAAGAACAGCCAGTGCTCTTAACCACTGAGCCATCTCTTCAGCCCCACAACTATATATTTTTGAGAAATACCTATTTACATGGAACAAAGTTTATGGCATATTAAAAAATAAAAATTATTACAAAAATGCATTTTAGGATTTCAATTTGTGTCCTGTAGCTGGGAGAAGGGATATATT